CAGCCGCACACTTGTCTGTTATTTCAGATAGTTATCTTTTTAAGCCTACGTTTAGATCAAAGGGTAAATCATCAATTATTAAACTAAACAAAAAAATAAGTTATACAAGGGCTTAGGAATGCATTGTGAAAAAGCTTGAGGATTAAATTAGGAACACATTCGTTAAGAGCAAGTGGTGCTACCATGACCGCAAACGCTTCCGGCGTTTCCGATAGATGTCTTAAACGTCATGGCCGTTGGAAAACAGACGTAGCAAAAGACAGGTATATTGAAGATTCAGTTGAGAAGAGATTATACGTTACTAAAACATTAAAAATGTAAATAATTATTGAATTTGAATGCAATCGGCACTAAACTTTGTATGTCTATAAAATAACCTCGCTACAATGCACAACATAGTTGTTTGTTGAGAGTAAGACTTACTGGTTCTTCGCGTTACATCGTATAGAGGAGAACCATTGTCTAACTGTAACGGATTACATAAACCGGTTCTGAAGGCTTGAATGTATTCAAGCATACATGTGTATTTCATACACGGGTATATATACCCGCGGCAGAGTATGAAAATCAGTTCTAGCGATATTTCTCTTACAAGATCACCAGCATTCAGATTCAATATTTATAATGTTATAAGATTATGTTAAAGACGTAATTAAGCAAACTGTTTTATAAGGAAAAATTTACAAAGTAACAGAAAAATAAATTATTAATTTATTGAATGTATAGGTTTGTTTCAAGTTTGTATATGTGGAACAGAACTTGTATTTTGATTAAGGAAAATATACTGTAAATCCGGTATTTTTCGCGATGTTTTAATTTTCGCTATTATTCGCGAATCGGCCGTGTCGCGAATTCATGATGCCGCGTAAATTTTATAACATAACATACAATTATATAAAAAAATAAATCTGATGACAATTTCTTTCGAATTGTGATTAAGTTTTATAATAAATACAATAACTGAATGCAAATAATTAATATGTGCAGTGTTTTATTTACATCATGATAATAAAGATATGAAGGTTAACTTAAAAGATTTTTCCCATTCCTTTTTCCTCATGAAGACATGGATGTAAAACACAAAAAGAGACATTATCAACAATTTTGGCACTTTACTTGCAACAAATATTGTTTAGATGACAATAGATTTTCGGTAAAACAGTGATCAACGGATAATTTTCATAGGTAGATTAAGTATTATAAACAAGTATATAACACCTTGTAACAAACATTTAACGTTTTATCAAACACGCTATTTGCAAAAAAAAAATGACAAATGATTAGAAATATCGTTCAAAATAAGTCAATTACATGTGTGTAGGTACATTTTGTATATAAAATAAATAAATAAAACTCGTCTCTTATTAACACCATTAACATTAACCTTGCATAAGAGCGACACAGTATAGGAATTAACTTCACCCTACCCTGTTATATGTTGCGGAAACAAAATTCAAATAATCGCGAATATAAATTTCTGACCGTGCAATCGCGAATTCATGAATACGCGAAATAATCCGGGGGTGGGGTTTTCGCGAAATAAAGATCACGCGAATATAAAGTGATTTACAGTATTGATATGTATATATTTGATATATATGTTAGCATGACTGAGCACGGTCCGTTAGGAATAGTCAGAGGAGGGTCACTTTTGTGTTTCCTCCGTACATGCCCACGGATTCTACGGTTCCTCTTACATTTAAAAAAGATAAAAGGGGTTTTACGCAGGCGGCCAGTATTCCTGAGACGAATATACGATCGAACCTGTTAAGTTTTTTTTTATTTTACATTTTATCATGAAATGTCTTGGACATAGTGCAACAGTTTTGATCGTGATATGCTTTATACATATGTATTATTGGGGGCGCAAGCCCCCAATGTAATTACGATAAATTCAGCTTACTACCTTTTGAACGCGTCTAGGCTATCTAGCTTCGCTGAGCAAAAATAGATCCAATATTTTGCCATAATATTCAGATCATCATAATACCTTATCTATTTTTAAATTGACTGGTCATTTTATTACTAAATTTTAAATCCTTTTATCACAAAATTACATATACCATTGCTTTACGCGATTTGAATATTACTACGCTAGCAGTCGATAAAAATTTAATGAGAAGCAGTTTATTTGTTCTACCTTCTGGTTCCCGATGCACGAGAGCCAAAGTACTTGCATACATTTGGTGCCAATTTTATCAAGTCATAAATTAACTAACTATCATAGAACACAATAATTCAGGAAAAATGGAATACGATTTTCATATTAGATAACTTTCAAGCTTAAAATGGTTAAAAAGTGTGAACGACAGAGTAAAAATTTTTATGCGTATGAATACAAACTATTTTCCCTCTGACGTCATTTTCCCGAAATCGCCATCTTGGTCAGTTATTCCGAGAAAAGGTTGAGAAGATTTGCTATCATTTAGGAAGTCCCAGCTATTACGTTGATATTTTGGTTACAATCTATTCCGTATGTATAATCAAGTTTTCTTCACAATCTGGTAAAGCTATATATATATCGCTTGATACTGCAAGTAGACTGCAAATTTTAGTGCATTACAAACTCGGCCCTAATTTGGCCTAAAACGTACTCGGCCCCGAGTCAGCTCGGCCTTTTTTCAACTCGGTCCACTTTTCAATTTATTAACATATTGGTTTGTTTTATCACTCTTTATTGTTGAAACTACATAATTAATATCTGGACTTATTCAGAAACATGGAAAGATATTTTCTTAAATTATTATTACATTTTTGACTACTTTTTGAACACATCTCTATAACTCAATTTACTGTATTAGCTATCTAAGCTAAACAAAATAGGCCCAAAACTTGTCATGGTATACAGGTAAAATGTTATAATTGGTGAAAAATGATAGTTTTTCAATTTTGTGATCATGATTTTTGCAAGCGACTGGAGGTACTGCCCCAGCCCTGTAATGAATAAAATCCTATCCTATGAGAGGTTCCAAAATTTTAAAGGACTGGTAATAATTATAATTGTTAAATACAATATGACTTAAGTTCAGATATACTTATTTCATACATGTTGATCTGATTTCCACAGTTTTGCCTTCATCAGATGTAGGATTTCATATTTATGGTCAGTCCATAATTTTATAGCTTTTTATTTGTAAATTTATAGACATTTATATGAAAAAAGTAGTTGTATTAAAATTCAAAACCACAGGTCAATAATAATAAGATTACTGATTATATTATTAAATATAACAGATTCCAGATAACGTGAGTATCGGCGTATTTTACGCTTTAAAATCAACTAAAAACGTACAAGGTTACCAATTTGTTGCGTTCATTTACGCACTCTGTAAATTAATTACGCAAAGAATGTAAATTTGAAGCGTTTTTGGTGTGTACTTTCATTTTGTAAACAGCTGATTGACCGCTTCCATTTAACAGTTGACTGTGTATCTATTTCCAATTAATACCCGTCAAGATACTTTCAACTATTTTTCTCTGTAAACCAGTCAAATTACGTCTTTATTGCTTAGGTGCTTGATAAAACAATTGTTCTATTTTCTTGATAATTGCAAGGATTTATTAATACACATGTAGTGCATGGTTGCTTCAAGGGCTAATCAAATTGACATTTTTTTCACACAACTCTGTTGCCGGGGAAACTATTGTAAACCGTAGTGTATTTAAAATGAAAAGAGCACAAGAAAATGTGAATCATAATATACGTGAATGGAGGCGCTGTAAACATACAGAAATCGGCAATTGACAGGTGGTTATCTGCATTGGTTATGTCATTGTCGACGATTATTGAGTGTAAACAATATAAATATGCGCATGAAAGGCCTTTCAACTGAAATGAAATTCATGCTGAATATCTGCTAAATTTCACATGATCTTTCAGGGAAATAAATAAAAGATGTTTATTTTGATATTTCCCCCTTAATTATCTAATATATTTTCCAAGAATCAAATTATTTTTAACAAAAGTGTGGTACAGTCATCTTTTATTCTGTTCGCTACTTAATAAAAAATGAAATACCACTAAATCTGTAATGCTATTTTAGTCTTGTAGAGATTTACTGGACCAGACTTAGTGACTTAGAATTCATTTTTGTTTTAAATGTATATAAAGAGAAAGATTTATGTAATAAACTTAGTTAGAGAATGGTGTGTTAATTTTAATGTAATAAAGTATGGTGCATTAAAACAGAGTACGTCCTTTAATTTTACTCGGTAGATTTTTGATCTATTTAAATTTACCCCCACATTCTGGAAAGTGGGGGTAAGTAATTACCCCCAGTGTCAAAAAATTATCTGGAACTCTGTATAACAGTATGGTAATATTTAGAACAATTTGATGACTATCAATTTTTACTTTAAACAAAAATTTAAAAGTCATCATACACTGATGAAACTTACCTCATTACCTTTGTTGATATAAACTATCAATAAAAACAACTTGTCTTTAGCAGCGGAATTTTATATACATCATATTAAGTCATCATTACTTTTATTGTTTAACATCTATATGATTATTATACTAATAGTATTCAAAAATTTTGTTGATGGAAGTTTATGAATTGGTAGAGGAAGGAATAATTAATCATGGCAGTGGCTAGCAGTATGAACCAGTATTGTTTGACAAAAGTGCTGGCTGTATGCGAGTCGCATACGACTAGCATATACTCACTGTTGAGGCTAGCTGTACAGCATTTTAAAAATGAGTTGCCTAAAACAATAATATGCAAACTTGTTTTTCTAAAAGAAGATTTTATTAAATATCATATACAATTTCAGTCAATGCGAAAGTCAAAAAAAAAATTCCTGCAGCAAGGACTTGGATCATTAGATTTATTTCCGGCCCTGATGATTTTTTACCGGCCCGGACTCTGAAAGGTTTTTTTGTAGGGATGGGGGAGGGATATTGCCATAATTATTAAGAAAAATATTTAGCATATATGAATTGTCAGACTCAACTATAAGATACTATGAAAAAAATATACAGAAACATAATTAATAAACATTAGCATAATTCACAAGAAAACAATACATCTTTCAAAGGTTTAATTTTGAAGATTGGAGAAAAAATATGTTTTGGTAAGGAAATTATCAAAGACAAGATGGTGGCTTACATTACTTAGCAAAAACTGGTCGTATCCTGCGGTGATTTTGGTTATCTTGGTCTGTGAATACAAGCAAAAATTAAAAAAAATAGATCGATCTTGGAAGCTTTGCATATTTTAGAAGGCCAAAAATTGTTTCAAACTGGCTGAAATTTTATTCGGACATGACAACTGACTGTATCGAAATTTATCTCGGCCCTACTGATTTTTAGTTGGCGAGGTCCGAGGACCGACAGCCTTTCGCACAGACTGCAATTTACAGTTGGTATAGTAATTTTTAGTGTTTGATGATCAGAAGATTTTTTTTCCTTCTGAAAATCATGGAGTTGAATAATTTAAATCTGTGTGAAAGCGCAAAGAGAAAGAGACTGAAAATTAATTTATTATTTCTATGGACAATATAGATGTAATACATTTGTAATCAAACATGTGGGTCAATTTCCAACAGTAGTTGAATTATGACAAAGTATTTTTAATAATTTTATTTCACTTTTAGCTACTTGAAAATTTCATGCTGGATGTTTGCTTACCATTACATTTTGCATAAGAGCTCTATGATTGACATTAAAGTCCACGGGCCAATTCATTTCTGATATATCTTTCCGATATCTTGTTATAATATAAAAGGCTGAACGTCATCATAGAATTATTAGGAAAAAATATATATGTTCATTCTTTGTAAAAATGTTAGAAGACTTGCAAGTTACCGATTTTATCATTGCATTGATTTTATTTATTATTGAAAAAATGCTGAACGGCTATCCTCAACAGTGTGTATAGGCTAGAACTTTCAGTTTGCATTTTAGGGTCATGACGGCTTTCCCGTTGCTGTCAACAAACTTTAACCTTTTTCATAACTTTTCAGATCTTGGTGTATTGTCTTCATACTTGGCCACAACAACCCTTCAAATAGACCAGACTAAACTTGACCTCCATATAAACATTCAAGGTAAAATATTTAAATTTTCTTGATTTTTGCTATTAGTGGCTATGACTTTGTTATTTTTGAATGGATTGTCTTCAAACTTGAACGCAACAATCTTTCAGGATAGGACCTGATTCACTCATTAATGTCCTTGAAGCTTTTGTGATCAGAAGTTGTGCAGAATAATACAAACCCAGAACAATTTCATTTACTTGGTTTTGCAACTTCTGAGACAATGGATTTTAAAGATAGTTGTTTTCTTAAAATTTCAGGACAGTATAGTAGATTGTAAAGACATTTAGTACATACTGTATATACACTATAACTACTATAAAAATCTTTGTGCTTGGACAATTTTGAACAAATTGTTTCTTAAACAGTGTAAGAAATTAGGATTTGAATCGACTAGTCTGGTCGGACTACCAGATTGGAATATTCACTAGCCCAAAAGACATTTCACTGGCACGATTCATTTGTTCAAAACAGTTGTTTATATTGCCTCTGAAAATACAGTAGCCTGGTCAGGCTTGTTACTGTGAAAAGTTGGTAGCCCGAGGAGAAATTTAGTAGTCGGGCCCTCGGACTACTGCTAATTTCGAACACTGCTTAAATTATTGATTTGATATCAACTAACATAATTATTGGGATACTATATGTATATCTAATAATAATTATATTTTATCTTTCCAACTTTCTGTTTCAGATGGTCGGCCTACATGTCAGATTTGTGAATGTGAACGGCAGGATATCGATTTTAAGGATGCTTTAGGGTCAATGAGGATGAAATCAAGAGAGATAAAGGCTAAAATGTGAGACTGTCAATCTGACAAACCTTGCAGTGAATAAATGGTAAAATGTTTCTTTCAGTAGCATGGCATTTAAGGAAGCGGTACATGATTATTTAGAAGTGGTTGTATATGATATTTCTTAATTATTATATTCTAATAGCTTTTTTTCTTGACTTGTTTAAAGGCTGACACAGGACAGTTTATTTTAAGTCAGTGAGCTTCTGTCACTGGATAAAATCCAAATTTATAAAAAGGAATTACAGTGTATTTAAATATCATCTTATACTAGAAATTAGGAACAAAAATAATAGCAAGAACAATTGTGACATGTAACATGTATTTAGGAATTCAGCTTTTCTTTCCTTTTCACCTCAGGAGAATTCACATTAAAATATTGAATATTCACAGTAAGCACTCCGACATATCTGACATATATGATTATCTTATCTACACTTAGCTGTCTATAGGTTATCAGAATCACTCACATTTATAAATTTAAATAATTTTGAAAAAATTGCTGCTTAGCAAATAGATAAAATACTTGGGGTGTCTGTGGTGGATTGGTTGACTTTGAACCTATTAAGCCTTTCACTGCTGTAGGTTCGAGCTCTGCAAGGGTTTATGGATTATTTCATGTGAGAAAGCTATCCAGCTCATTTATGGAACATTGATGGTACCCAGGTGCCTGAAATCATACACATAGGTGCACCAAGGTCTTCCTCAACCAGTAAAGCTGGAAATTGTGCTTTAAATTGCCCTACCCCCTTCCCCGAACAAAACAAAACAAAAATAATGGCATTTTTATTTTGCAATTAACTTTTTCTAAACAAATATTTCAGGAAACAGAGGCGTTTGTATGATAGAACAGTAATAGCAGGAGTGATAAGGACAGATGCATGTAGATGTGTCTTCATGTCGGAAACACTACTAGAGAAATTGAAATATTTGGGTTTTTCAAAACTTAAAAGAAATTGGAATACCAGGAGACTGCTTGCCCTTTGCAATGTTGGATGATGTGATGTCGAAAGCCTCATGAATATAGTAACTTGACTTAATCTAATTAGAAAAAGAAATGACATTGAGGAGAAAACTAGTCACCAGTCTTTCACCAAGAACATGAGATAACTTTCCAATATTTGAAATATCATAATATGTATAGAACTTTAATGAGCGAACAGTTTTTCACCAGGAAAATAAGATCACTTATCTATTTTTGAAATATGTATGAACAGAACTCTATCAACTTCAAGGTGAGAGTTTATCACGAAGAACATGAGATAACCTATGTATGAACAGAACCACATTTGTATATAGAGGCGCCAGTTCATCACCAAGAAGATGAGCTAACTTATCAATGTTTGAAATCTGTTATACCCCCGCACAACAAAGTTGTAAGGGGGGTATACTGGAATCAGCTTGTCCGGCCGTCGGGAGTTCGTCAGTTTTTTCTTGTCCTTCCAATAACTTAAGATTCCTTTGACCCACAGTCTTCATATTTGGCATGGAGGTAAGTCATGATTAGTAGATGACCTCTATTAATTTTGAGAACACCAAGTCAAAGGTCAAGGTCACAGGGTCTTGACTGAAGAAAGCTTTTCTGCCCAATAACTTAAGAATCCTTCGACCCACAGTCTTCATTTTTGGCATGGAGGTTAGTCATGATTAGTAGATGACCCCTATTTATTTTCAGGTCACCAGGTCTAAGGTCATGGTCACAGGGGCCTTGGCTAATTAAAGCTTGTCCGCCCAATTACCTAAGAATCCTTTGACCCGTAGTCTTCATATTTGGCATGGAGGTTAGTCAAGATTAGTATAATACCCCTATTGGTTTTGAGGTCACTGGGGCAAAGGTCAAGGTCACAGGGGTTTTATTACAATTAGCTTGTCTGCTCAAATGGTCTCATATATTCATCATAAAACACCTCCAGGCAAGGCTGCATGAAATGGGGGGGGGGGTGTTATTGAATGGCATGACAAATTGGTATGTGGGGGTATTCACGCCATGACAATGGCAGTTCTAGTTTGTACAGAAAATATCAAGGTGCAAGTTTCTTTTATTAAGAATAGACTTATTGATTAGATAACTTACAATATTTACAAACATTTATAATACCATACCCATTTAAAGTATTTCAGCTGAGAGTGTATTATCCAAAATACATGTATTGTTATAATGTACTTTATAGTATATTTATTGATATATTTATTGTAAAGTTTTGATTCTACTAGATTTTAAAAACATTTAGATTTTACTAGATCTTGAAAATATTTTGTTCCATGCTCTTTCATTTAATTTTGAATAATGAATCCAATAAATACCTATAATAAGTATAGGATTAAAATTGATAATGTTTTCTATCTTTAACTTATATAAAAGTACAAAAGTAATGTTTAAACTGCTGGTTAGATTTCAAACAGGACTAAACAGGAGTGTACAGTGCCATCCTTAGTTGTGCACATTGTTGGCATGTTCTCATCGTCGGATACCCACGGCCGAACCATTAACATTCATCATTGATTGCATGTTATGTGACATGTTTATCAATCGTGGGTATCCGACAATGGCATGTTCTGTTTCTCTGCACAAAATGGCCCCAGAGTTAAAAAAAGAAAAATCTATCACATGTAAAACTGCCAAAATTCAAAAGAGTGATCAGAACCATACACAGTTTTGGGAGACATGTTTTTGTGACAAAAGCCCTTCAAGTTCATATATGACCTTGACCTTTATTTGATATAAAATATCTTTGGAGTTAGCTGGAATTGTCATTACTTTGTTATTATTTACAGATTTGATTCATGCTTGGACAAACAAACACAAAACCAACATGTTGAATTTTTCTGATATAACTTTGACATTTAAATGACCATTACCTCCAAGGTTAAACAATTGAAATTCGATCACATTGTCATAACTTTGTTTTTGTCTATGATTTGATTCATTCTTGGACAAAAGAACAATTATCATTCAACTATGACCTTTACTATTCAAATTTGAAATTTACTTTATACATTTATATTATGTTTTCTAGGAGTACTCTAATAGATATTACAATATTCTCCTACTGATGTGTTTGACTTCCAATATAAGAAAAAGCCGAGCATGGCCCAAGCTAGATAGTGGCTCTTGTTTTCAATGCCAACTTGATTATATGTATCCATTCCAATTTACATTCTCACATGTATTATCTATTGTGCTTGAAAGGTTTCTACAAAAAATAAGTTTGTTCTTACAGTCCTGGTTTTATTTTAGAAATTTTTTATGGACAGTTAAATTTTCTGTTTATTTTCTATCTGCATAATCATTTCTTGGAATAAATATAGTAAGTACACTGATTTATGTGTTATACACTCACATAAGGAAGTACTTTACATGAAAATTGGTTAAACAACTATAGTTTCCCAACAAAATCCAATGTCATAATTTAAAATGTTTATTCATGATATATATATGATATCAATTATGCATTTTGCCTGGGTTTGTTAGTATGTTCTTGGTACATGATTTTCAATTTTGACAAGAGTTTGGAGGCGATACTATTATATTGTGTACAAAATGGGCACTTATTCAACTTTGAAAGAAGAATGATATCAGATTGGAACACCTAAAGTAGATTGCTATACAAATCTCGAATTTTTGTATGCAACATATTGCGCCCCCATCAGTGCTTTCAGCACTTTGATATCCTCCTGTTATAACGAAATGGTATTAAAATAACCTCGCTACAATGCACAACATAGCTGTTTGTTTATTGAAAGTTAGAGTAAGACCTACACTTTGTTAGAAGTCTTGTATGAAGTATTTGAAGTTTTCTTTCACCCGAAAAATAATAGGCGTGTGTTGTTTGTTTTTCTTAAAATTATGATTGAATGATGTTAGATGGGGAGGTTGCAGAAATCGTGTGGAAGATTATTCCATTCTCTTATTCATTCGGAAAAAATGAGTTAATATATATAGTTAGTATATATATATTGTTGCCATGGTATATTGTCAATATTTCTTCCGTTGTACATGTCCTTAGTTCTTGTTGGAAGAATGGAGAAAAATCCGTTTTAACAGGTAAGATCATTTTTTTGTAAATTTGACACGACGGTTCGCATTTGTGCGATAACTTTGATAATCTAAGTTGTTTAAAAATTTCTTAAATGCAGAAATAACTGTTGATTAAATTTTTAAAAAATTGTTAAAAAATAATTAAAGTCCTTCAGTGTTTGATAATATATTAAATGAAAATAATATAAAAATGTAAATAATGTACCTGTTTTAAACGTAATTTGTTTATTGTTTAATGTTATATTGGATTCAGGTATTTTTCCTGATATTTGGTGTCAGGGTATTATTAATCATATATAAAAATAAGGGTGACAAATCTGATCTAAACAATTATAGAGGGATTACCATATTAAGTTAATTTTTTTGGCAAACTATTTACCAGTATACTAAATAATAGACTGAATGAGTATTTGGAATGAATGTCACAATTTACTTAACGAAGAGCACGCTGGGTTCAGATCACAATATTGTACTACTGATCATACATTTTAAAGATGTTAATTGATTATTATGAGTCGACACAAACTTTTGTCACAAAATATTGATGAATAGTGCATTGGTATAATCCACAATATGTACAGTAAGATTAAATCTTGTGTTAAACTGTGAGTTGACTAGCTGTAGTTTTGTAGTTTTACCGGTGCACATCTTTCACCAATTTTGTTTTCTATCTTTTTGAACGATTTGTCAAATTGATATCTTATAAATACACAGGTCTTATCAATATCTCTAATGCAACTCGTGCATGTCTTAGTGACGATGTCATTGATGTTGACGTTCAAATGTTTCTTTTGTTACTCGTATATGCTGGTGATACAGTATTTTAAACAGAAAGCAAAACTGATGTGCAAAATGCAATGAATGATTACTGTAATATATGGAGTCTTGTTGTTACTAAATTAATGATTTTTATTAAATCAAAACCTAAAGATGATTTTAATTTTATGTATAATGGTAAAAAGCGTGATTTTGTAGATAACTTTACTTACCTGGAGTACTTTGTAATTATAATGGTAAATTTTAGAAATCAAAAGAATCTTGTTTATAATGCTATAAGAGCAAGTTTTTTTGTGATCCAAAAGTCCCGTGAACTATGTCTACCAATGTCTTTGCAACTGCATTTATTTAGCACTATCGTTGTACCTATGCTTCTTTATGGAAGTGAGTTTTGGGGATTCGAACAAGTTCAAAGTTTAGAGAAAATTCAATTGTATTTTTTGAAAGTTTGTTTTGAATTTAAAATCTTCTACGCCTAATTGTATGGTTTATGGTGAATTGGGTATATTTCCTTTAGTCTTACAAGTGAATGCTAGAGTTTTGTGTTTCTGGAGTAAAATTATTGATGCTAAGGAAAATAAGATTTGTAAACCTCTGTATAAAACAATGTTGTCTTTGTCGGATAAGATTTGTGAAAGAAACGCTTAGTAATCTTGGTATTTCAGAATATTTTCATCTACAGAAAGTAAATACTATTTATCTCTTTAAAAGTATTGTGAAGCTTAGACAACATTATCATTTTTTTACAAAATTGGCTTAGTACTATTGATAAGTCTTCTAAGTGCTTAATGTATCGTTCATATAAAATACTCACTGTTTCGAAAAATTCTAATTTTACTTCCATTTGACATAGGCAAATATTTATGTAAATAAAAGAACAATGAATCACCTATTACCAATAGAAAAAGGCAGACATTTGGCAATTGATCATAATAATAGGCTCTGTTCTTATGTCCGTATCAAGCTATTGGTGGTGAATTTCACTACTTTTTTGAATGTTCGTACTTTAATGATATTAGACGTAAATCTCTTCTTCCCAGTTTTTATATTCATCCCAATATTTTTGAACTTGACAGATTAATGATTAGTTGTGATAAAAATTCTACTAAAACTATCTTTATTTTGTTATGTTAAAATTTAGATAATACTTCGCTGATTTTAGTATCTCTTCCTAGAGACTAAATAAAACTCAAATTTATAAGGATTAAATGAAACAAGCCATGTATCTGCCCATAATGAAATTCTGTCTATATCTGACTGTAATGTAATAGCATAATAAACAAATAAGACAATCAGTGTTCCGTTACCGCTCAGGTAGCGTTGTAGACACAACCAATTGACAAGTACACAAGGTTATTAACACCTTCGTCAGGGTATTTGTGTTTACTATTTTTTTTGTCCATGAGCCCGGATTTAATCAATTAATCCCTTCGATTTACAACTAAAAATAAATTCAGATTCAATAACTCCTTCCGATTTCTATATTGCCCCCCCCCCCCTTCGGTGATTCGCAGCATGTCATATTAATGAATGAGAACCGTAAAGCAGTTCTGCTGTACATGAATTCGAAAGCTATAAATAGCTATAAATGGTCTGATTTTTGACACTTCGGTTATAAATTTGTTATTTCCCTTTTTGAGTAGTACATGAAATTATAATTTGTTACATTTTGAATTACATTTACACACAGTATATCAAGTATACTATTAGTGATTTTTGTCAATATAAAGAAGATTTTAGGCATAAGACTTTAATAATTTTGCTTTTGATAATTAATCTTAATTTATATTTATGAAACTAAATGTTTAATAATAATATATTGATATATTGGTTGTTTTGAAATAATTATACTTTGGTATATTAGGTTACATTTCATTGGCATCATTGGTATTGCACGGTCAAAATTAACTATTTAAGGGCATGACTGGTGGCATATCCGGGGTGCGTACTCGACAGCGAAAGCTGCATTTTGTG